TTAGGACAGGTAGAGGAAAAAGGACACCGCGCTAGGAGGAGACTCTATGGTGGGGGAACGGGACTTCCGGTTGGCAGAGGAAAAAGGATGCCACACTAGGAGGAGACTCTATGGTGGAGGAATGGGATTTCCAGTTGGCAGAGGAAAAAGGATGTCGTGCTAGGAGGAGACTCTATGGTGGGGGAATTGGACTTCTGGTCGGCTCCAGAATTGAACGGGGGGCTTCCGGTTAGGATCTTTGTGGCTCTTTGAGTGTTTAAGGTTGCCAACCCCTGGTTTGGCAGATCAGAAAAGGACATCTGGACAGTTGAATTACCTTTCTCTCCCCGGTAAACTGGCCCAGCTTAAAGAGAACTGTATGCCCAGGTCATTCCTATGTGACAATCCCCATGAATCATGGCTTCACCTTTGGAAACTCGGGATGACACATCATCATCACCTCTTTGCTTTGCCTTGAGGAACGGCCTCCGTCAAAGGCAGATGGATGAACTCGTAGAGCTGCTTGGCATTGGCGGCGTTGCCCAGAACTTCGGCCAACTTGTCCTGAGAAAGAGCGATCAATTCTGCAATGCTCTCAACGCGGTTCATGACGGCCTGGCAGTTTTTGGAATTGATGCCGGGCATTTTTAGCAAAAAGTCTTTAGGGCCGGGGTTGTACTTGTCCCGTTCGGGGAGGGTTTCGGAATCGGCTGTGATGGCCAAAGCCGCTGCTGCGTCCGGCTGAGGCCGGTTCTGCTTCAGCTCTTCGAAGACTTCGGCCGTGGCGTGCGGAGACGGGCACCACAGGAGCCGGAGGCGCGGGAAGTGAAGAGTCAGCAGGGCGAGCTTGGAGATCACGTCGTTGCTGGAGATCTCTTGGAAGAGAGAAGCCCGGGGCGTGAGAGAAAAGGGTTTGCTGGCGTCAAACTCGATGAGCAGGACGGGCCGTTGATAGTAGCGGGACATGGAGACGCACTGAGTGTACAACCTGCCGTTGTTGAGGGAGCCGATGAGGTCGCTGGTGCTCTTGCGCTCCACGCAGATGTCCGGGGTGAGAATGTAGTCCCCGACTTCTAACGTCACGGGCTCAATGTCGATGCCCCGCCGATGGATCAAGGAGGGAAGCTCGCTGCGGAACTCGCGCATGTCCACCACGATGCTGTGCTGCACAACCTTCTGGTGTTGGCCACCTAAGGAAAGCAGTGAGACACAGAGGTCATTTCAGACTGAATAACCACAGGGAGCGTGGCCCTAAGCCTGAGCACTAACGAATAGAATAACAGAGTTGGAGTGGGCCTTGGAGGTCTTCTAGTCCAACCTCCTGCTTAAGCAGGAAACCCTACACCACTTCAGACAAATGGCTATCCAGCATCTTCTTAAAAACCTCCAGTGTTGGAGCATTCACAACTTCTGGAGACAAGTTGTTTCATTGATTAATTGTTCTAACTGTCAGGAAATTTCTCATTATTTCCAAGTTGCTTCTTTCCTTGATTAGTTTCCACCCATTGCTTCTTGTTCTACTCCCAGGTGCTTTGGAGAATAGCTTGACTTCCTCTTCTTTGTGGCAGCTCCTGAGATATTGGAACACTGCTCTCATGTCTCCTCTAGTCCTTCTTTTCATTAAACTAGACATACCCAGTTCCTGNGAGTGATCATAAAGTCAGACTAGATGAGGCACCTCATTCTCCTGCCGCCTCCTGTAGAGGGCACTTTTTAGAGGCTTTTTTTAAACAGTCAAGTACTAAGCAGATCATCCACTGTGACTCTGGCAGCAACTACCTCAGCCTTTTTCCTTTTACATTTTTTTCTTTTCATGATGACAGTGGTGAGGCTGTGCCTCCCCTTCCTCCCCCGACTGCACATCCCTGTTCTCCAGATCTTCTGATCTTGCACTGCATATGGGTCCGGTACTTGAATAATATTCTGAATTATTGATGTTTATTATTCCTAATGCTACTGGGACCACTGGTGATAGTGGTAGTGGTGTTGCATTTCACTTTATTTGTTTTACAACATTATTACACCTTTCCCCCCAGGGATGAACTCTGGATGGATCACAACAATTTCAGTGCAAAACGAAAGCAATTGGTCTGACTGAACGTTTCACAACAACACCAGCTTTCAAGAGACACTCTATGCCTGGGTTGACAAAATGTGTAAAGCCCTAAATGGAGGTTAATATAATTGTTCTATTCATACACACATTTTCTCCCAATAAACAAATGACATTATAGCGTAATAGGAAGGATTGGTCAATTTAGCCGGCTAAAATAATGGCTGAATTCCTATACTACTATCTGCAAACTACCAAACTTCATTTTAGTTTATCTAACGCGTCACACAAACTCAGTTAGTGTAGGGAATACTAGATGGCAATGCTGGACTGCAGCAGTAGTATTTCTACTTTCATGAACAATTTTACGGCAGGAAGATTTAAGGGAGGCAAAATAATCTATTCCATATGGCTGATGCTTACTCCATTTAAATGTTCAGAATGTAGTAATTTTAAACCAGCCATGACCAGCTATAATCAACTGATGAAAGGTCAGCGAAGGTTTAACTTGACTTTTAGTTTTACCAAAAGGAGTGAAAGGGAAGAAAGCATGGAATGGGATAACTTGCTGCGGCCATTTTGCCGTGGCCATCTTGCTCTGGCCATTATTGACAAAAACGGAAATAATGTAGAAGAAACAGAGGCAGATAATATTTGTTGTGTTGAGTCATCCCACCTGAATAGTCCGGCAGTGAATTGTCCATGGAGAGTTGGCTGTAGTAAGATGGCCGCAGCTTGGTTAGGCATGTAGAAATTGATCACACAAAGGTGGTGACAAAGGTTAGATTTAAGGTAAGATGGGAGGAGGGAGAAAACCTGCAAAATCTTGAGGGAAAAAAAATCCCAGAAATTGTTGTCTGAATCTCTTGTTGTCACTCTTGTAATGCTGAATGATTGATTGATATTGACTGACTGACTGACTGACTGACTGACTGATTGGTTGATGTAAGGGAGAGGCTGCCAACTCCCAAGGGGCTTGGGCAGCTTACAACTATAAAGAAAGAATAGCATGATAAACCAAAGAAATCATGAATGATCAGAAGACAAATATATTATAGGGCTGTGATGGAGAACCTAGGGCACACGGCGCCCTCTCTAATGGCACATAAACCAGTTCAGCTCTGCCACGCATGCACACATGCCTCCTACCAGCCGGGTCTTTGGCTCTCTGCTGTGCAAGCGCGGGGGTTGGGGTGCATGGGGGGGCACGTGTGTATGCACAGGGTGTGTGTGCATGTGGGGGATGTGTACTCACTGCATTTTGGGGGTTTGGGCACATGTGTATGCGCATTCTGGTGTGCACACACACGCTTTGGGCACTCGCTCAGGAAAACGTTAACCATCACTGTTATAGGGGCTCAAAT